TCTTATATGAATGTTTTACAACAATGTTAATCCAGTCAGACGTGTGTGAACTGTCATATGACTTATTCATTGTACTCTCCATCAGCTTCTGTTTCCATGTGTTCAGCTGAGCTGCTGATTGGAGGCTCTATCTCTCTGTGGGTGTTTCTCAATGTCGAGGAGGCTTGCTTGGTAGCAGATGTATACTGGACATCTGAACAGTCATTCGGCAGCACTCGATGACGTAGTATCCTTGAAATAGTAGGTCTGGAGCAGCTTTCCTCGACATTAAGAAACACCCCTTTATCCTCAGTTTGTATTTCATTAAGCTGTGAGGACTGACGACCAACACACTTGTGTCTTTTGAAATGACTATACCATATAAATCTTTTGTCACAAACATTGCAGCTGTATATTTTCTCTCCTGTGTGGACTCTCATGTGTGTCTTTAAATTTGTATTCTGTGCAAAAGCTTTCTTACAAACTGAGCAGCTGTGTGGTTTCTCTCCTGTGTGGATTCTCATGTGTTCCTTTAAACTTCCATTCTGTGAAAAAGCTTTCTTACAGACTGAGCAGCTATGTGGTTTCTCTTCTGTGTGGATTCTCATGTGTTCCTTTAAACTTCCACTCCGTGAAAAAGCTTTCTCACAAACTGAGCAGTTGTGTGGTTTCTCTCCTGTGTGGATTTTCATGTGTTGATTTATACTTCGTTTCTGTGCAAAATATTTCGTACACACAGAGCAGCCAAATTGTTTTTTTACAGCATTACCGCTTGAAACACTGACAGGTTCTTGTCTATTTTTCAGTGAGTTTGAATCTGATGCAGGTTCTCTGGTCTCATTCCAATCAGCACTGTGTTCAGCGTCAGGTTCAGAAGAGTCTCCAGCGTCAGGTTCAGAAGAGTCTCCAGCGTCAGGTTCAGAAGAGTCTCCAGTGTCGTCCTCAGTCTTTGGTTGTAAACTGCTCTCTGGATCTGAGTTCCTGGCTGGTTCTGGTCCTCGACAGTCATCTCCATCAGCTTCTGTTTCCATGTGTTCAATTTGTCTTTGATGAGGCAGTGAGGACTGAGGTTTCTCTTTATCATCTTCACTCTTCACAGGGTCAGGAGTGAAAGTGGACTTGGTGATATCAGCCTCCTCCAGCTCCTGAAGCTGCTCTCCCTCCTGACTGATCCTGAGTTCCTCCTGTTCCTGCTTAATGTGTGGGGGGGGCTCGGAGTTATCCTGGTCCAGACTGGTGCTCCACTCCTGCTGGTCAGGGAGAACCTCTTCTTTAACCACCACCAGCAGCTGGACATCTGCAGGAAACAGGAAGCACACAGTCAGAACAAACTGTTAAAGGTCACATGTCATGGCCATTTCCACTGATCATAATTCCATTGTTGATGTCTACTAGAATAGATTTATACTGTGCAATTTTCCAAACTCACATTGTTTCGCATACAGCATCTCTGTAAACTACGTGAATTCACTCTCTCCACTAAACGGCTCGTTGCAGCTCTTGCCCCCCCTCCCTGTGAGCCCAGTGTGCTCCGATTGGTCAGCTCGGCCCCTCTGTTCTGATTTGTCAACCACCAGAGAGGCTCTGCCCCTGTTGACATCTGCCGTAAAGTGGTTTAGCGGGTACTTAGCCCATGGTGTTTTTTCGGCTCTGAGCGGAGTAGCAGAAATGAAATGGCGTCAGTAAAGCCATATATGTACGAACCGGAGTCCAACCCTGAGAGTGAAACGGACCGTGATGGACCTGATCCACCGTCCCAAACAAGAATACAGCAGGCGGTTTCACAGTGGAACGTTTTAATTTTGTATAGCTGCTACATTTCAGATGTAATGTTAGAACTTCATCACAGTAACAAGTGTGTCCGCTGACTAACCAAACTTTCCAACTGTTGTTATTTAGGTGCACGTGTGGAAACTGCGCAGTAATGCCTACCGAGGTGGAAAACCTCTGTTGCAGGGAGATTAGAAAGGTGACAGTGTAGTGCCGATGAAAGGGAGTCGGGGGCGGTGTGTTTAGAATCAGGTAAAATACATGTCTGCTCTGTCTGACAAGCTAGGAATGACAAGCTAAACCTAAGAGCACACACTAAAGGGTCCGTGTGGCAACACTATACCAAAGGTGAATTATGGTTAAAACAGGGTGTCACCACAACAAATACAAAAACACCAACAGTAGCACACAACATTATATACACCATACATACTTGTCAAGTCAATAGACTATATGCCCTTTTATTTATTCTATAGTAATTGAATGTTTATTTTGTAAACATCGCCATAGTTGGATTTAATTGCTAAACGTATTATGTTACAAATATCTTATCCTCCTATAGGTTTTAACACGAATGCACCAAGTCCCAGAACCCATTGTGTGCATGGTTGACCACCCCGGACTAGAGCCAAACTGCCTCAATCCCTACACCCTGCAGAACCTCCACAATATTTATCGGTTTGATTATGGACCTTTGAGGCGTAGAACTGAAGAAGAGTAAGTTATTTTTAGCTATAATAAACTAGTACTGTATTAGATGAAAAATCAAATAATGGTTTGCTATATATGAATGATCTAGGAGCAAATAATTCAGGGAAGAAAGGCTATCAAGTAGTTCCATCAAACTTTATTTTGATAAATGTACAAATTGATCATGTGTATATATACACTGTATGAGATAAGATGGACCTTTATTAATCCCTGTGGGGAAATTCAGTTGTTCAAGAAAAAACAGGACAGCACATATATGTTATCATCCATTCCTCCTCTTATAGGCGTTTTAGGCATCTGGCCTATCGCAGCTTCGTAAGCTGGTGCTGGGGCTTTTTGGGACGAGGAATCAGAGTGGTCATCCCGTCGTGTGTGGTCCGCCGGATACGCCAGGAGTTCCCTGATCTGGCTGGACAGTACGTGGGCTTCCTTCCCTAGACTAAAACGTGAGACATGGCGGGCTACCACTTCCTCCTTTGAGGGCCTGTCAAATTGAGTGGACAGGTCCTTTGGGATGTTGATTTTATTCATCTCCTCCACAAAGGGTGTTGGGTCCTCAAAGACTTCTTCAAACACCAGCCTCATCAGCTCACCCACGTACACTGAAAAATATAACATTCATATAATAATTAATTATTTGTATACACTTATTCATTTCTCTTTTATTCTTTCATTGTACAGATAATTCAGTGTGGCTATCTCTCTAGCCCTCCATCATCTGTTGCAATCATCCCGGTTCTCCATAGATCTGGCCAGTTATTTGGTACTTTGTGCTATAATAATTTAAAATGTAATTTATGTTTGTAATAAATAAATAATAATAATGTAATAGCATGCCTCCTGAAGGTCTCATACTGGAAGATCTCCAGCTGGATGGCTCTAAATATCTATGAATAAATAGAAAAACAGGACAAGTATTTGAAAAAGTCCACTTCTGTCATTTTTCATATGCTATGGATGTAAGATGGTAAAATACCTTTTTTAGTTGGAAGAGGGAAGCACCAGTGAAGTATGTAGCAGCAGATAATTGTAAGTTCAACCGGGGTACTTCCAATGATGGGCTGGCTCTCCCATTGTCTGAAGTAAGTGCAGTTTAGACAACGCTGTTTGGACAACGCTGTTTGAATGCCACAAAAGTCCCATTTTTTTCGTTTTTGGACATCACGTCTTACAAAACGGACATTTTTCAAACAGCTGTCCGAGGCAGCTTTCAAAAACAATGTACTTTGCGTCACTGTGCGTGGATCGTGTCTGAAGTCTAATGTAACAAAACAAAATGAACAATACATGTTAGATGTCAACTCTGAACAACAGTTATAGTAATGTGTACCAAATATACCAAACTTACAATACGTCAGATTCTTCTACAGTATCATCAGGGTGGTAACGCAAATCCAGAGTCTCTTCAAATTCAATCGAAGTCTCTCATTGTTCCTGCTCCAACTCTAGTCGAGGTCTCTTGCTAGGTCCCAATCCTGGGCCCTTTATTGGTGTAGAGCAGTGGTTCCCAAACTTTTTGTGCCCAAGGCACACCAAAGGACAAGTAAAAATCTCAAGGCACACCTATTGTGCAAAATAGGCCTCATAACATGTGTTATCACTCATATCATGTAAAATATCTGTAAATGTGCCTAATTATTTACTAATGCCAAATAAAATGTGACAAAGACAACTATATTACTCATGAAATATTTATTAACGAAATATTTCAGAAATTAATTTGAAACTTTATCAAATTAGGCTTCATCAAAGCAGCAACACACTCATTTAAACCAGACAGGTCACAACATTAAAAATGAGGCAAAGGAAACTCAGCAGAAATTCAGCACAGAGAACTGTCAATGCAAGGAAGCTGCACTGCATGGTCCTGAACTACAAATTATAAATGTAACATTTCAGCAATCAGCATTGAAACATGTGCTATTGTAAATATTTTGCCGATATATTACACTACTTCGTTACTATCTACATAAAGTAACTCGTTACTTTACTCGCCGAGCACGTACGAACTGCGCATGCGTGAGTGGCAATAACTTTCCTTACCAGCAGGCGGCGGTAGTGTGTATTTGTCATTCAAAACAGGCAACAACCGGAAGACAGAAGAAGAACAGACTGCGTGATATAAACAAACAACAAATAGCGTGTGCGGTAGTTTCACCTTAGCATGTGTTCTTTGCAGGTGCTTGTTGAGGTTTGACGTGGTGTTTCCAGCAGTGGATAACAGCTTCTGGCCTGGACACAGTTTGCACCTCACCGTCACATTCCTGTCTATTCTTCGGACGAACTCAAAATAATGGGCATACCTCCACCCCTCGAGAGTTATCGCTGACTCAGCCATGTTTATGCAGCACTGCACGTGGAGATGTGGACGCACAAGTCGCGCAGATTACGTACATATAAACCTACAAAGTACTGATATAGTAAATTAAAAAGTAATTATTTTTGTGTAGTTGTATATTGCAATAATAACGTATGGTTGTCACAAAATCCCACGGCACACCCGGACTTACCTCACGGCACACCAGTGTGCCGCGGCACACCGTTTGGGAACCACTGGTGTAGAGGACAAGGGGATTTCTGTGTAGGTGGAAGTTTTAGTGCCAACACTTTTGAAAGACACCGTGGCCTGGATGCCTGTTAATAAAAAGGGAAAAGTGCATAAATACTATGTACATTAGATAAGACACTAATACATTGTAAAAGGCCAACAACTTGTGTACATCTGACAGATTAATTCATGAAAAATGTACAAACTACAAACAGCACTGTATTTCTTGTAGTCAACATAAAAGTATTTCTGTGATATACAATAATATCAAATAAGGTTTTATTTATAGAGCACATTTAAAAAAGATTTTTGGTCGAGCCCAAGTGCTGTACATGTAATAAAAGCACAATTAAGGTAATGTATCTGTGATTTGTCAGTGTTATAGTCTACCTTTGCTTCTCACGTGTGCCGATTTCAGTGTTCCCCGGGCCAACTGTGTAGCAACAGAAATGGCGGACATTTTACATTCCACTGTCTGTGTTCCCACAGTTGTGGTTGTGGACGGTCTGTTTGACATCCGACTGTACTGGAGCAGTTGGTATTGTGTTCCTGCTGTGATGTACTCTAAGAAAGATACACATAGTATTCATACAATTAATTTTGTATCCGAGGAAAACAGTCAATTTCATAAAAGCAACACTTTTACAATTACAATGTTCTACAGATAGTCTGCTACGTTCGGTCATTCATTGTAGCTGGCATGAAAACAATGTTTTTCATAACATCTCTAGGTTAGAGCTTTTAGCTTAGCTTATTAATGGTAGCTCGGTAGAATACACAAACGGCAACTGTAATTACTGACCGTACGGTTAAATCACCCGGAGTATACTGTCTATGAGTATTTCGTGTGTGTTTGCAAACATTCTCCTGCTATGAGATACATGTAAGGCCATGTGCTAACATCGGTGTTGAGGTCTGGGAATGCTAGGTAGCCCTCGTGTTTACCTCGGTAGCATAGCATTAGCATAGCATAGCATGTACACAGTCATGGTAGATACATTGTTTGTTTTAAACAGAATAAATACATAAACCACAATGAATACTTACAGGTTGTGTACCCGAATCTCCCGCTGGTCCAAACAAAGTAGGAACAGCATCGTCCTCCAATATCAGCTTTGCAAGTCCGAAGCTAAACATTGTTACGTTTTTAAAGCTTTGGTCCGTGAAATGCCGCGCACACACACAACAGTACCGGCTGGTAAATCAGCTGGAACAGTGTTAAAAAGGAATGTCAACCACTGACTTCTTTGTGGTTCTGCCTTCGGTACTGCAAACATTGTGGATTTCTCCACACAATACAGGCAACAGACCCTCCGCGACATGACTGGATAGAGCTTTGAAAAGAAGCAGGTTTTACGACACTTAATATGGTCGGCTGGCAGAGGAAGTGACGTCATGCGGTGCAGCTACGTCACGCGGGGCAGGAAGTAAACAATGGAAACTGAGAAATCTCCAACGAGGCTTTTGGGGGAGGTATTTTCTGTGTTAGAGTTTACTCGCTACAGGGTGTACTTTGAGGGTTTTGACTTTGCAGACTGTTTAAATGCATAAAAACCTTCATAACACACAAGGGGACGGGCAATAACCGGAAAAGCATGACATGTGACCTTTAAGTGTTAGCATTTAAAAATCTAATCACCATTACAATGGGGGAAAATTTGCAGCCCTAATTAATGCCTTTGTTTTTATACTTTCATATCATCTTTCTTAGTCCCACCCAGAGTTTCCGTTAGAATTTTCTTTTGCCGGTAAGATGTCCGTTAAAGTTTCAATCTTCCGGACAAAATGAGAAAAGTGCCAGCCAATGGTCTTCTTTGTTATTTATTGAGCTTTAAAACAAATTGATATGATTCGATATTAAACAAACAAATTATAGTAGATTAACTACATTATTCTAAAGTGTACAGTAATTTATAAAAACACGGAATAATAAACGGAGCGCTCTCTCCCTCCCCTGACAGCCCGTCAGTATTCCTCTCATGCAGCTCGCTGATGCAGTAATGAGTGACCCGACAGTAAAAAAAAACATATTTATAACTAGTTTAGGTAGTTTGAGAGGTAATTAAAATAGCTACGTGTGATTTTCTAACCTTAAGTGTATGTTTTGCTCCGCTCACGACTGCAGGTGATCATGTGCGTGTCGACTCGTCAGCAGCAGCTGATCTCTCTCCCCCGTCAGATTAGACTTCACTCGTGTTTATCTCCATATCGATCAGATCTAGCTCTAGCTAATGATATGACTACCTGCTTATTAAAAGACACCTCAACAAAAAGCGTCGCTATGCAACCGGGTGAGGCCGCAAAGTATAGTGCAGCATTATGCATTTGTTTACATGCCCACCGGAACCCTGAGGCATTATCAACAGATCAACGCACAATCAACCCACACAGGACATCTCTTTCTCCACATTAAGTGTTAGACATTAGAATTGACTATTCTTGTCACATACTCTATTGTCTGTCACATACTATTCTTGTCTGTCACATAAGTGGCGCAACTGATGCGGTATTGTGCTAAGGGGAATTTATTTTGACCGGACATTTTGACCGGAGAGATTTAGATTTGCTGGTCTTCAGCATATGTTACCGGTCAAAGTCCGGTAATTACTGGCTAACGGAAACTCTGGTCCCACCTATTGTGTATTTGTGTTGTCTCAATTCACCTTATGTAGCCCAGCCCCTTTCCACTTCCAGTTCAAAATGAGAAAGGGGTTTTTCTTCTGGTTTAGCACTAGCTGCAATGAATTGTATTTGGGATCTTTCACAGCTACACTACGCCTATAGAATGGTAAAACTAAAAATATATTGTAGGGCCATACCTATACAAAACATGTCTGTGAAGTGTTTTTGCTTTAAAGTGCACCTATCATGCCATTTTTAGGCAATAGCATAGGTCTCAGATATATAACAAATTAGGGCTGTCAGTCGATTAAAATATTTAATCGCATGATTGTTCATAGTTAATCGCGATTAATCGCACATTTGTTATCTGTTCTAAATGTACCTTAGAGGGATACGTTTTTAATACTCTTATCAACATATGAGTGGACAAATATGCTTTATGCAAATGTTTGTTTATTATAATTTGAACAATGACAAATATAGTCATGAATATTACAAATATTCGCCTCAATTCAACCTGGAACCTCTCTCATACAATACAAAGTGTGTGTGTGTGTGTGTGTGTGTGTGTGTGTGTGTGTGTGTGTGTGTGTGTGTGTGTGTGTGTGTGTGTGTGTGTGTGTGTGTGGAGACACTGATGGATCGTTGGAGATATGTGCAACTCAAGGCATATGCTAGAACGGGAGCTGCCTGGACGCTGCAACCATGTTGCGCGCACTATCCGTGCCGAGTGTGCTGACTTGTGCTCCATATATCCGTTAGCGCAGCTAGCTAGCACCAGATGCTAACAACAACAATACATGTAAGGTGTGCCCGTTCTCTCTCTCTCACTCGCGCCACATATACACACACCCTCCCGGTCCTCCCGATGGCCAGTCCGGGCCTGCCGGTGAGCGTGGAAGTATGGTCTGCCGCAAGTGGGCGGCAGGAGTGGGGCTGTCAGCATCAGCAGGGCTGTCAGCATCAGCTTGTAGATGGTATTTTAAACTCGATGCGCTCTGAAACTACGGGGCGGCCGAGGACAAATAATATACACATGCGTTAATCGCGTTAAAATAATTAGTGGAGTTAACTTGACAGCCCTATTAAAAATATATAAAACACATGTCTATGAAGTGTTTTGCTCAAAATACCAAACAGATCACACATTCTAGCCATGCCTCATATCCTTCACTTCCTGTTTCAAAAGTGCTGATTTGGGGTATAAAGCTTAAAAAAAAGGAGGTGGCTGAGCTCATGCAGGAGATTCTACCGGCAGCTACTATCTAAACCAGTGACCATCAATTGGTGGCCCGCGGGCCACATCCAGCCTGCCAGACATTCAAATCCGTTCCGCACGGCGGACCCCCCCCAACAGAGTCCAACAGAGAGGCAGCTACGGGACAGTAGCACTGCGTGAACAGTCTGCTTTATGTGCTCCTTAGTAGCCCCGATACGAGGCTCCGGCGAGTTACGAGGCCCCCCCACCCCATGTCAACAACTTCAAAATGCTGGGCTATATATAAAAATCGCTGGCCCCCGAAAGTGTCTCTTGGATTAATTTTGGCCCTTGGAAAAATGTAGTTGGTGATCCCTGGTCCAAACTAAATGCTGCCATATCATGGATTATCAAGGATTATTTCTGAAACAGTATGGAGCTCAAAAGGCTTGCCGGTAGGGCTGTCCCGAATACCATTTTTCGGAATCCGGATATTCGGTAGTAGGGGGGGCGGGGGTGCGTAGTGATCAGCAGCGAACCGCTTCAACACGTGTATTTCGGTTTATTCATTTTGTTATTCTACAGTATTGTTGTTTTATAGTTATTTGTTAATGTAATTAACCCAATTTCTGTTCTTTGAAATTGAAAAGGATATTGCATTGTGTTTGTTACTTCCGTTGCAGTTGTATATGTCTTAAGTGTAATTTGGCTTGGCTTCCTATTTGTATGGACATGATTTTATTTTGAAGGAGAGTTAGCGCTGTTGACAGGAAGTTGATGTTGCTATGGAAACAACGTATATCTACATATAAAGACGGAGAAATTAAACGATAACGTTTATGGTTAAGTGTTAGCACCCCCCAAAGAGGCACAAGCTCTTACGTGGATATTGGAGATTTCAATAAATTCAATTGAATTTTTCTGCCAAAAAAAAGAAAAAAGAAAACGAATAACGAAATTGAAACCCGAATAGTACTCCAACAAACTAATATTCGGGTACAGCCCTACTTGCCGGTTATACCACAAGGTGAGTTCCTTTGTATTTTCCTGCTTCTACAGGTACAGGTTAATTCTGAGTGTTAGCGATGCTAATGTAAACATGCACCGACCATATTTCATCCAAAACAGTCGGCAGGGCTCAACGCTAACTTTTAAAAGTGGTTGCCAGGCTGGCAACCAGGCATCAGCTTTTGGTTACCAAAACTGAAAATATGGTTGCCATTTTTAGACACCTTATATTTATAATAATTAAGATACCATACAGTTATACATCAACTTAATAATGAACATGTGACACAAAAGAATGTTCAAATGCTTTACAATAAGTAATTAACACAATTATTTGAAACTTAAGTGGTAGTAAACTTGTCCACCCTCAATTGCTGGTATACTAAATACCAGTAGTGCAGCTGTTGTCATGTTCTTCACAGATCCCTCACAAATGAATTGAGCAAGTCACTAGTTTCTTGGTCATCCGTTGTCTCCCTTTCACATTTGGGTTGTCTTGACCTTTGTGCTGACCCCCACCATAGATCCATTGGCCCTTCAGCATTGAAGTCTTGGATTGGCCAGACTAATACATTTCTAATGTTAAATAAATGAAAACCATTCACAGTTAAGAATTAGATAATAATTATTAATGCTGTAAATTACCTTTTAATATGTCTAACTATATTTAAAATGTGTTACCTTTTTATAGAAGTGATTATAATTGTATGCCAATATTTTTCTATGGTAAAGTTTCGTTTTGCACTTTTATTTTGGTAGTAATAAGATCGGGACTCTTATTTTGAAGGAACTTTTACCCGAAGTGAATGGACATTCCTCTTTGCTTTTCGTTCGGGTTTACCTTACGCTTTATCAGTTGAATCACTTTGAACATTCGTTTGAGATGTTGACGGGTTGGCCGAAGTTTTAACCCCAGAGTCAAACAACTTAATTTGCTTCGCCATTTTTTGTAAAACAAACACACGGCGCACCGCGCACGCGAGTAAACGTGCATCGCTGTCTGGCTCCGTAATCACACCAATGCACGTGCAACTTAAGTATCAGGTTCCAACTGGTCACAACAATAATTAAATATCACTCTTAATACAACAAATAATTAACATTTATCTATTTTGGGGTGCACATTTTGCTGTTTGCTGTCCTTATTTCTTTATGTTAAAAACTGGTTGCCACTGATGGCAACCAAAGGCCAAGAAGTGGTTGTCATTTTTTCTGTATGGTTGCCAATTGCAACCTGGCAACCGTTACTGTCGAGCCCTGGTGTTTCTGATAGCAACGTTTCTGATGTGGGTGTAAAGCCAGCCTACATTTTCAATATTACATCATATCAGACGCAAATCTGGAACAGCTCCGTTGTAGCCCCGTCTTTAGAGATTTGAGAATGGAGGAAAAGAGACAGGGTTTTATTTTCTGACGCTGCGTGTGGTCCCCGACACACCGGGGACACATATTTATGTATTCAAGAATGCATTTTGCATGATAGGTCCCCTTTAAAATACCAAACAGATCACCCATTGTAGCCATGCCTCATACCCCTCTATTCCAGCCCTGTTCCAAAAGGGCTGATTTTGCTTTACATGGAACGGCAGCTGCTAGCAACGCCCCTTTGTAGCGTCACACAGC